AAATCAACCAAAAATGGTCTGTTTGGAGTCTGGGGATGTAAGAAGGGTGAGGATGGAAAAGGGTAAGGATAAAAAGGAATAAAAGACTCTCCCATTGAGTCACAAGTTCAGAGTAGACCTCCTTGCCAAACTTCACCCTGGACTTGACCAATGGTTTAGGCCTAAAGGTTTTAGCAGCACTTCAACTTAGCAAGCAGTAAATGTATAGCCTATTTTAAATAATTTAATAAAAGATTTTATGGAATTTATTATAAGCCCAACAGTAACTCATTTATAGGACTATCTTACTTAGGAATCTAAGTTACTTAAGAATCTACGAGAGCAATGTTCATAATACATTTCCTATTGCATATTCACAGCCACACACATACAGACCTAAAGGAGCATGCATGAAATATATACCTGTGAAAAATTCCCCTCAAATTCAGTGAAGTACTCACATCTTTGCGTCTCCACAATGGGCAAAAGGTAGAGCCTCAAGGAGTGGGGGTATCAGCTCAGTTTCCCTTGTCATTGTTCTGTCCTCCAAGCACAGCAAACTTGAGAGTTCACTGTCTCTGAGAGGCTCCACTCAGAGGGAGGTTGCTGGTCACAACCTACTGGGGTCCAGGAGAGCTCAGAGCATCTCACTTAGAATGGCTGTTCATATGGTTGCAAGAGCACTGGATTCAGACATGGCAATTTTCCATCCTGACAGCAATTTGAGTCCCTAACTTTCTTTGAAAGTTCAAAAACAAAAATGTTGTTCCACTTGGGTTGTTTTTCAGGCAAGAAATTTAAGTTACCAAAGCTGTTTGTCAAAAAACAAGAGCTCATTAGACAGAACTAGTTCCTGGGAGCTGACAGTGTTTCTGAGAGGCTCAAGTGGAGCTTAGTTCTGGTCCTATTTGTCAAGGCCAAGGCCTAATGAGCATTTCTGAAATCATAGTGGGGAACAAGGAAAGGATGTGGGTGGCATGCACCATCACAACCATCAGTTGTTCTTTTTGTCCTAACAGAAACAGAGAACCTAGCACAACATGAGCATAATGCCAGTAATTCAAAAATACATTAAGGAGAAAGACCTCAAGGTTCAACTTCATATGGAATATGTTCCTATCAAATTGCATCATCCATCCATAGTTAAAATAAACTATACTGCATTGGAGGAAAAAAAAATGTAATACTCAAGAAAGATTATATAAAAGGCCTTGTGAAGATCTCAAATGAATCAGCATTAGCTCTTACAGAAGCAAATCAGCATATCGTTATAGTCCCTGCCAAATTTCAACTGCTGCTATCAAAACAAATCTATATTAATTTATTCAAGTGCTTACAGTAAATTTTAATAATTCACTGCAACTGTTTCCTCCTAAATCAAACCATTGAAATCAGAAAGCTTCAAATTCCTGCTGTTTTGTAGAAGTCTAAATTGAGATATATTTGAAGAAAGTTATTTAAAAGGTAATAGATTCAAACTTAAATCTTTCCTTTAAATAACATTTTCATCAACTAAAATCTTTTCCACTAGTAGTGGAAAATGCAGATTTTTCTATCTGCATTTCTTTCCTGTTAACATTGCTAGATTAGCCTGTTCAACCAGGAAGAACTTAACTGTAGGGTTTCCTTTCTTACAATAATTTGTATAAATATTCTTTTATGTTTATATTTTTACACCTAAATACTGAGTTTGCTTTTCTAAGAGTATTCAGTAAGTAAAAGGACAACATATTTCTGTATTTAATTAATACTTTTAAATGTAATCAGACAGTGTATTCCAAACCGAGACACTAGATGATTTTGAAAAATAGTTACACTTTCATGTTCATATACATTTCTTGCTCTTAGTTTTGCAATGTTATTTCTCCTTTGTGAGCATCCTCTCTAGTTCTTTAGGGCATATACATAAACCATAGATATTTGCTTCCCTCAGCCCTAGCAACTGAAGGAGAAGATGATATGAAAATGGAGTCCCTCTGTCTACAGAGGCAGTGGCCTGAACAAGGCTTTGGGCTGTATTCATAGCAGGAAAGGGGTTAGTGTTTCAAGCTGATGGTGTCAGCAAATAAACCCTTGTTTTTAAAGGTTTTTTTTTATTCTTGTTTACCAGAAGTGCTTACAGATTTTACATATTGGCAGAGAACATTAGTTTTATGGTGGTGCAGCATGGTCTAAAGAAAAAAAAAAGGCTTGAGTGAAGCATCTGAATCAGTTTGCATGTATTAATGTTTTTAAATAGATAGTGTTTGTTGAATTTTACCTGCTACATATTGCCCTTTCTTGAAAAGTTATTTTAGAGCTCTTCACCTTCAACCTTTATTTTTATGACCTTGAATAATGTATTATCAGGTTTATCCCCTCTCTATTCACCAGATTTTTATCATTATTTTATAAATATTTTTGACTGCAGAACTCAGTGGGCTTTCAGTCCTTGCTTTGTAAATCTGACTTTTAATTACCGTATGTTGTTAGCCCACCTTCTACTAGTTATTCATTCTAAAACTTCTGGACAGCAATTTAAGCCTGCTTCTTCTGCATGTTGCTAGTGAATACTGAGAACAGTTTTGAATACTGAGAACAGTTTATTTTTTTCCCTGACTGCATCATGACTTTGAGTTTGTTTATTTGAAAGAACGACTGGTCTTATAAAGGGTTTTCCTTTTGATTAAGAGATCTACTCTCCTTATTCCTTTTTCTTTATGCATTTGACTGTTTTCTGATTGTTTATATTGTGGAGAAAGCAATGGATTTGCTGCATCTACATTCTCCATTCTCTTTTATGCCCATAGCAGGGAATAACTCACACAGAAAAGTAACAGGCAATTATATTCCCTTATCGGACTGGAAGTTAACCAGCTCAAAATAAAGTCCTTAAAGAAAGAGAGCAGTTACCTAAATGAGTTTTGTATTTAGTGTCTTAGTCAGTCTCCGATCATGAGTGTATCTCAGATTTTCCACAGCATCAAAGGAATACTGATCCATTTAACAATGCAATAGTCTATAAAGCAGCTGTCACAGCAGTAAAGACAACCATTTTAAAATCTAAGTTTGCGTATGCTGATTTGAGTCATTAGTCTTTCAGCCCATTTTACATGGTTTAGTAAGTATTGACCTCAAGGTATCTTTAATTGGTGAGACTGCAACTGTCCCTTATACTGTGCTTCCTCTCAAGTGCTTACGTGAATGCTTCATTTAATTGCTGACCTTGCTTTGTTCTCTTTTGGCACTCTTCCTGTCTTAGGAGCCAAGGGAAGGAATTAGAGTTCTCAGGACCTCATATGTTTGGTGGTACTTCCCATTCCCTGAATTTACCTTTCTTTCCCTGGTAATGATGTTAGTTAGTAATGAATAGTCAGTGCAAAGCTGCTAAACCAAGGCAGTCTTTGTTTTCCTTCTCAGCTGACAAAATATCAGTAACCAAATAGTGTGCATGGAAAGCAGTTGATCAGTCATGCTGTCTTCCTGAAAAAGTACACTACAAGCATGAGAGAGAACAGGAAATTAGCATGCATCTGTGAAAAGGTGTAATCCATTTTCATTGATCCAGAAAGATCTGTTGAATGGCTGAAGAAATGACAGAAAACATATCCCAGGGTTGTTTCCTCCCTGGCATCCTCCCCTTTTGCATCCAATTTAATGAGTACTATTTTCCTAAATTCTAATTCTTTGTTTCATTCATGTCATTTTTAGTAAGTACTAATTTGCTAAAAAAAATTACACAGAATGTATCATCTCTACACATCATTGGATAACTAGGGAGTTCTGATGTATTCTGGGACATCCTTAGGGAGCTAAAAAAATGCTATAGGATTTCATGAAGAGAGCATTATTATTAATACATTCATAATTTGGTCCCTCTTTGGTTTTAATCAGAACTGTATAGTTATTGTAGCATATTATATTAAATGAAAATCTCCTAGTTACTTTACATTATACTGCAGTGGGAAAATATTACCAATTTCATTAAATAGATTTCATTTTATTCATTAAACAACTAAGTAGTTTGCTTGTTTTTTTTGGTGTATTGCTTATTTATCAAATTTTCATTGTGACTTCAGGGACATCTTTTCATTAATGCACATTTTATTTAGAACAGAACCATTTAGTTTTACTCCAGGGTAGCCTATTGCTAAACGGGACCAGATATAATGGAATATATAATAGCAGGAATGTTGTAGGTACTCTCTGGTCTGGGCCTCTGAGTATTTCAAAATTTCATGTACAAAAGAGGTTGAATGGAACCCTTTCACTTGCATGACCATATGCATATGCAAAAAAAGATTTCTTCACATCACTAACAAGACAGGGAGAGTTTGCAGCCAAAGAACAGTTTGTCACAAGCAGCTGCAGTACCCTAGATATTGTTGCATCTGGTTTCATCATACAAGCAATACCTGGCTCTGCTAATAATGGGCTGGGAAATCACTAAGATGTTTCGAGGAAAACAGGGCTATGACTGTGATTGAACTATTATTGAGCATGGAACTGAACCAATATTGTTGCATAGCTTTAAAGCTCAATTTGCTTCCTCTGTGTGAAATACCAAGAACACTGCAAGAGTTACTCTGTCTTTTTGGTCATGGTGGAAAGAAGAGAAAAAGAACTCCCAAACCATTAAATCAGAAAGTGAAAAAAACCCCACAATTGCTACAATACATAGAAATTCAACTCATATGAGCAGAGTATACTGGCTGTAATGGAAATGGGTGTCATCATTCCATGTGACTTTCAGAGCTTTCAATCTGGGCATTTATTCTTTTATGTTGATTTGTTGCTTGCTTCAGTTCCATACCTTTTTCTCCTTCAGGGTGTTTACACCATCATCCCTCCATTTTCCCTATTTGTTTTTTTTCTATGTTTTCATAGGCCTTTAATTTCTTTCTCTTCTGTTATTTTTTCCCTTTCTGTCTTACCCTAATAAATTCCTTCTGTTCTGTCTAAATTTTCACAGGAAATAAACAAGTATACACAGCTGCCAAAATAAAACAGAATGGAAGAAACCACACACTTCTGTGAACATGTCAATCTTTGGCAGGATTTATTCATGTGACAATAAAAACAGGTGTCCATATTTTTCTTTCTGCGGAAATAGTGTTGTGCTATTGACAACCAAAACTTTGAAAAATGGAAATCCAGTTCCTTTTTTTTTTCCATTTGTGATAAAGTGATATGCAATCATACCCTTTAAAGCACATTCTTGTTTGATATATTGAGTTCTTAGCAAGTGTGGTGGGGTTTTTTTTGTTGTTTTTGTTTTTGGTTTTTTTTTCCTGGTGGCATGGATTTAAATTGATAAGTGTTACCCAATTGCTAAAGAGTTAACATTTTCTACACAGTTTTGTTGCCTTCCAATACTTCCAATGTAGTGGTGAAATAGCAGTAGAAGGTTGGCAAAGATTCTAAAATTCTTTTTCTTCAAAAAGTGCATCAGTTTTTGATAAGATCAAATGGGTAGCTATTGGTAAAGTTTCTTGGGTGAAAACATTCGGCAGACTTAAAGGGAGAGAAGACACCTGTATACCAATAAAGCAATCTTCTGAGTTTGAATAGGTTCTGCTGGTTTGAACCAGATAGAATTAGAGTGTTTTTTAATGACAGGAATGTATAGAGGTGGGTCAAGCTGGCTGAACCAGTCTGACTCAGGAACAGTCTTGAGCTTCCCAGTATGCTCCATTCGCTAAGAAGTGACAAGAGTGACACGGCACTGCAAATCAAGAGTCAATCTCTTTATTGCCAGAGAACTAACATTCTTCAATGGTATCTTAGCATTCAGAGTAATCTCTCACCTGAGCCTCACTTAACTACAAGAAGTTAAAATGTACTGCCAAATATAGCTTTGTACATGCAAATAATCAAAAGTGTTTGCTGTAATCTGAAATCCAGATGTTCAGCATGCTGTCTCAAGGGCTAGACCCAAGTGTATGCTTGTAATACACGAAAGTACTTAAGCATTTATCTTATGTATCTATACCTGTTCACGTTTGTACATCCCTGTACAGAAATTATTTGTTATTTAACTAGACAAATGAGTGTGAAAAATCTAAAGGTAATTTTTCATAAAAGACATATAACAGTAGTGCTATCTCTTCCTTTTGATTTGAGTTCAATCCTCTAATCTCCTAATATATAAATTTTTGAATTAGAGTATGATATTTGATAGCAAGTAAATCTTCCTAAACTTGTGCTATATATCTGTGGCATTCAGAACTCCAGGAAATACAATAATTTAACTCAAAACCGTCATGAATATTGCATTAGAAAGCAACTTTGACCATTGTGATGCATTACGACTAATAAATAGTAGGTCTGGGAATCTGAAAATATATTCACAAAATATACATTCTTTTATATCTTAATCTTAAAAGGAAATAAACCAAAACATTCCAGAGGTCAGTCTTTCAAGGGCTGCAAGATGGATATTTATTCCAATGAGGTCAAGTACATGGGCTGTAGGGAAATAATTTGCTCAGCAATGGTTACAAAGGAATGTCTGGTATGTCACCTAGAGCACATCCTCACTCTCCTTGTCAGATGTTGTTGCTTGAAGGATTGTTTCTCACACTTTCTCCTTTCTCCTATCTCTTTAAATACACTCTTCCAGAGGAAATGCACAAATGGTCATCAACCTCCACTTTGTCCTGTTGTGGATCCATTGTGGAGAAGGCTGAAACCAGCTGTCTGGGACAAGACTCATTCTGATCTCCCGCCAAAGCAGCCATCCCTGTAGCCCTCATGTTGCTCAAAGTCTTGCCACCTACACACAATACAAGTGGAATTTCAGAGATGGATTTAGTTTTTCAGGCTTTTTGCAGCCATTAGAATTTGGACATGCAATGTCTTTGGTCACAGAATCATAGAACTCTTTGGCTTGGAAGGGACCTTAAAGATCACATCCTTCCAACACCTCTGCCATGGGCAGGGAGAGTTTCCACTAGACCAGGTGTCTCAATCCCCATCCAACCTGGCCTTGAACACTTTCAAGAATGGGGCATTCACAGCTTTTCTAGGAAATTTATTCCAGTACCCTCACAGAAAAGTATTTCTTCCTAATTTCTGTCTAAACCTACACTCTTTTAGTTTAAAAACATTGCCCTTTGTCTTATCACTATATGTCCTTTTTACAAGTCCCTCCAGCATTCTAGGTCCCCTTAAGGTAGTGGAAGGGTGCTATAAGGTCTCCTTGGAATCTGCTCTTCTCCAGGCTGAACGACCCCAACTCCTTCAGCCTCTCCTCACAGATGAAGAGTTCCAGCCCTCTGATCACCATTCATGGTCCTCCTCTGATTGTGCTTCAGCAGGTTCACACCCTTCTTACGCTGGGCAACCTAGAGCCAGATGCAGCACTCCAGGTGCAGTCTCAGGAGAGAAGAGAAGAGGGAGAAGAACACCTCCCTCATCCTGCTCGCCATGCTACTTTTGATGCAGCCCAGGACATGGTTGGCTTTCTGGGCTGAAAACTCACTGCCAGCTCATATTGAGCCTCTCATCAACCAACAAGTCCATCTTCTCTGGGCTTCTCACAATCCATTTTCTACCCAGACCATATTTGAGCTTGGAATTTCTCTGACCAAGATGCAGCACCTTGCACTTTGCCTTGTTCAACTTCATGAAGTTCACATGGGCCAACTTCTGCCAGTCAAGTTCCACCTGGACAGCATCCCTTCCCTCCAGTATTTCAACCAGACCACACCCTCGTTGTCATCAGCAAACTTGCACTCAATCCCACTCTGTGTTGCTGAAAAAGATATTAAACAGTATTGGTCCCAATACTGATCCCTGAGAAGCAATGGCTTCAAATCACATGGAATTATGATAAGGGGAAGAACTTTGGATGTATTCTCAGTCTTGTGTCCTTAGCTACACTGAGTGAGCACAGTTTTCTTAAATTGAGTGAAACTCTACCAGTAACACTATTCTATGGATGGCCAGTTTGCCCCAATACAAATACTTTTCCCGGTATACAAAATTATGAAGATATTTAAAAACAGGAAACAACTTCTCCTTTAGGAACATTTCAGACTGACCATTTTTAGATTGAAAAATTGAGCAACTAACTCAGAATTGCTAGAATATGCATTTGATATGTGGGAAAGTCTGGTACAAACTCCAATTCTAATTGCAGTTGGAAGTTGGTACAAGACTGTGGGCTATTTTGAAGTCTATGTCCTTCCTTCCTTTTTGTAGAAGTTCTACTTTTAGTAAAGATATATTCCTGTGTATGTCTATTATCAAATAAAAGGAGAGACATTATCCCAAGATATTTAGAAAATTTATACATTTCCAGCATTCTGTTATGATTTTGGGTACATGCCACAATCGGTAAAATGTATTTTACTTTCTTCATCATGCATACTTTTTTCACATAAATTCTAAGGAGAAAGAATGTCTTGAGCCTGAGGAAAAATCATTTATTGGATTTTGTTCATTTAGTATTAAAAAATTGGACGATGACCAAAACATTATATATAGAGAATGACCATTTTTAATGTCTGTAATTTTCAGAGACTTTGCCAGGGTATTGGCAGCAATATAGAATGCTTTGAAGCAAGGCCACTATTAAAAATACAGTTGTTGGAAACATTTGGTAGTGATTAGATTGTTACCAGCATTTGAAGCTTAAATGAAGGAGAAAATACAATAACAAGATGAATAACCCTGAGAAAGGATTTCTTCCTAAACTGAAATCATTAAACTCTGAAACCTACCTTTTCAAGGTCCTTCATTGCAATCCATTATCTTTCATTCCCCTTTGTACTACAAAATTGTCAGTTTGATGATATATTACACATAACAATGTCATTACATTGGCATAACATGACAACTGGGACTCATTTGAACTTTTAGAAATTTCTAATCCCTAAAATAAATTATGAACTGAAGACATTTCAGACATTGAAAATAAGTCACTTGTTAGAAAGAATAAGGTTCTCCATACGTTTTGGAGAATTGCACTTTTCTGAGACATTTTCTTTTTCAGTTTTTTTTTTTCCTCAATGCATATAATAAACTTACCAAGAAATATAATCCATGGATGTCCTTAAGCTTCTTGTCCTTAGGCTTACTGAAGTAATGAGTCCTCCTGTAGACGACAAATCATCTACATCAAATCTCACCACATTTTAATTAAATTTCCTGGAACCAAAATAAGGATTCTGCCATAATTTTGATCAGAAAAATTGTTAACTGATCCCTTAACTGTTCTTACTTTAATTTTTTTCTTACCTTTAAAAATTATGGGTACTATTTCTCTCTTCCTCCTCTGTTGAACTGTTTTGATTCTTGATTTTGAGTATTCAGTGAGACATATAGCAGACAGGAAATAGCAGACAAAGGAGTTTGGGATCAATTGTGACCACATGTATACAGCCTCATTGTTTCCATCCTGCTCAACAGCTGTGCATGCAAGCACAACCCTTGAAATGCTGGCGTGTAACTGTACTGCCTTCTGGTCAGTCACAACTTTTGGACCAACAATTTGCAGCAATGGAAGATGCTTATCTTGATTTTTCTAGGCATATTTCCTTACTGAAGCAGAGCCTATGCAGACAAAATATAGTTTCCAGGAAGAAAAGTCAAGGAAGGCTTATCTCTTTGTGCTGTTAGTGAAGAAGGAATTCTGTGGATCAATTTCAGGTAGAAGACAGTTCAATTCCTCTGAATTGTTTTCTGGAGCAGTATCTTCAACAAGGATATCTTTTCTCAGGAGTTATGCCTGGATGGTCTCTGACATTTGGAAGGCTGAGGGTGTTTATCAGTTTTTTGCATGCTTTGAAAGCTGCAGAACTTCTCTGGAGCTTGCTGGTTGCATGTAGTCATCTGTTTTGGGACAACACTTGAATGTCGTTGTGTAGCTTCAACCACATTTGCTCTCTTGTGAGAAAAGGTGGTCAATGGGTTTCAGAATAGTGGCCAACTTCATGTTATTATTCAGGTGTTTTGGTTTATAGGAGATTGAAAACTGAACATGAACCTGGAAGTGCAATTGTAGATATTTTTAGGGTCCTCTGCCGCTAGAATTCTGATGCAAACGGTGTGCCTATTTCTCTTACAAGCTACTTTTTAATGAACCATGCTGTGCATGTGTCTTGTACTGGAACATAAACATAACTGATGACTCTATCAGGAAACGTGTGTTTTCTGCACATTATAATAATGTGACATAAAGGATAACCAATTCTATTCCAAATGGTTGTGACTGTACCTCATAGTAGGTTTGGGGTTTATTTTAAAATTTTTAATATTATTATTATTGCTCTGTAATCTATTGTAAAGTTCAGCATACATACGAAAGATTCAGATTTTTAGTCTCTTGTCTTTATGAATAAATATAAAATGTGTTTTCATTTTGCAGCTAGTATTTTAAACCTTCTCACAGAGTTGCATGATGATTCAGCCCAGCTTTACCATTTTGCTGAATTAGCACAGCTAGTAAGGAAATAGCATTTGTTTCAATCAAAGCCCATAGTCTTCCAGATTTTGAGATCTGCTTGAAGTAGCTGTAACATGTGTGCAAAAAAAGTAAGAATGAGTGGCTTTATGGATGCCTTCAGCTTGAAATTTTTTACCTGGTGCTGGAATAGCTTCAACCGACTTTGCCCATAGGCTGCTTGTCCTGCAGAAATATTTCCATGGGGAAACCATATTCTGTGTAGTCTCTTCTAATGTTTTTACTTATATGCTCCTTTTTTGCAGGTAGCAGCCAATATATTCTGGTAATGTGTGGGGTATATACTCCCTATACTCCCTTTTTTTTGTTTTGTTTTTTGGAAAGGACATATGCAAAAGTTTGGCTAAAAGTATTCATTTTCACTTGAGAAAGGATGATCCTAGTATCGCTCTGATGTTTTAGCACGCACTTTGTGCTGATACATTGCCCACTTCACAGTTTAAGGGATATGTGAACAGATGCTCCAGTTGATAGCCTGAAGTATAATGAAGTCTTGTCAGAGTAGGTTGTTATAGGAATAAATGCATTATATCAAGTGTTTCTTCCATTCCATGTTACTTGAAACTGAAATAAAAAATGTTATTCCAATAACATTCTGTTAGAATTAAATATCTTAGACGTACACAGAAAATCATAAAAGTCTTTTTTCTTCAAATGCCTGAACAAATATATACAGCCCTGCGGATTCTTTTTAAATATAAAGGTTGGTACATACAAATTGGAAAGAAGGGTATGTGGAAGGCAAAACAATGTGTGGAAGATTGTAGGAGAAGTTGTTCCAAATGAACATCAGGTTGCATGAGTTTAACTGAACTAGAAGGTTATTTCCTTGTGTTGAAACACTAAAAAAATCTTTCAGTACCATTTTTCAGGGATTTAAATTTAAGTTTCTATCTTCCTAAAGGCAAAAATCCCCCAAATCTTATATATGTAAACCAAATATTTTTTCTTTGGGTAATTTAAATCTTAAATAGCTATTTAAAGAATATTTATTGCTTCAAATTTGTGACAGGAAAATAAAGAAAAAAACAAATGAACAAAGAACAAACTCTCTTGTATTGTGGAAGAATCAGTAATAGTAATATTAATAGTGTTAGTAATAACGTAAATAGTATAATAGTAATTAAGTAAAATTATTAAACATGAACTTCTTTTTATCTACCACTTCCCTTGCATTTATATTCAACCTTCTGCTGCTCCTTGGCTTCTTGCAGTTGACATCTTCAGTTGGACATGCAAGTTTTTAGGATCCTGAGTTCATTGACAAAAGCAATATGATGTTAATGGTAACTGCCTCCCCCTCACTATAGGAGCTGCTTAGGGTCATTTCTATGTTCTTCTAACACACCATGAAAACTTTGCTCTTTCTTTGCAGGTCTGTAGGTCCATGTTAAAGCTGAATTTAGTATATAGAAAGTGTGTTGCATATACTGGGCACTTCTTGCTTTTTTCCTAGTTACTCTGCATTCCTTTAATTGTCCATAGTTAGGACAGGTCTAGGCTCTCTAGAGCCAACCCTGGGTCACTTCTCTTACCACCCCATGCCTGGGTTCCTCTACATTCCACACAGTTTTCAACGTACTTTTAAATCCTCCACTGCCATAACAAACCTGTATTTCTCTGCTTTACACTGTTATGTTAGAGCCACGGATATTTCGTTCTACTTGTTGCAGGGGTATGTATAGGATTACAGTTATATAATAAATACAGAGTTGTACAAAAATAAAGCAAACTAGTCATAGACACCTTGTCAGGCTTTTATAGCTGAACAATCTAAAACAAAGTTCCAGGCAGGTGAAGAAAAGTACAAATTATTCCTGACAAAGCTAATTTCTGAGTCCTTGCAACATCAGTACAAAACATATGGCCTACTCTTTGCAACACTGTATTTAGTGGGCTATGGGGTTATACTGCCCTCTATTTAGTGTGCCTGGAGGGGAAGAATGCAGTTTCTGAATTCCAGTAAAGGAAAATTTCATATTCTGAAAAGACAGAACTCTTACACGTTTTTAAAGTCTGTGGGTTGTTTTTGTTTCTTTGTCTTTCTAAAGTTTTCCTGAATTTCTTTTGTTGGGATGAGATATATGTAGCACCAAGCAGCTTTCATTTCCTTAGCTGTGGCATTCATATTCCTTACTTGTCTTCTGATTAAGAGGCCTCTTGAATTTATTAAGCTGCTATTTTTTTATATATGTTGCATGTAAAAAAAAAAGTCTTCTGTGTAATATTTAATACACCATAAAATCCATGACAAGGTTGATTTTATAATTTTTTTCCTTATTTAAAACATCTTAGAAAATAAATAAGGCAAAAACCATGAATATTTCTTTTAAAGGATGGAATTGACCAATTTGTATTTACAGGCCTGTGTATTCACAGTGTACACACCAAATCATAATATTTCCAGTATTTGTCGAGTAACATATATATAAGGAAAAAATGTGTGATTCTTATATTTCACAATGATTCATACAGAGCTGAAATGAAGTTGAAAAGATACATTACAATTTTCTAACTCTCTCAATAATCAGTATTGAAATATACATTCTATAATCAGTATTGAAAATTCATTATTTTGCTTGCAATTCCATCCATAAGATTAAGAACAGTTTAAGTGTCTTGGTGATCTATCTCTTTAACAAGAGGGTTTAGCCAGAATAATTGCTGTAAGGAGAGATTGTTCTTCGCCTCAAATAGAAGAGCTGGACATTTAGATGGAAATAGCCCATTATTTATACTTTCAGGTTTCTCTCAAAACATATGCTGTAATTAGATACTTAAAGACAAGACTGTGTACTTTAAAACACCACAATCAGTACATGAGTTACTCGTGTTAGTGAGAGAGACAAGTCTTAATCTTGAAAGCTCATCTAGATTGCAGTACAGTGATGTATAATCTGCTGATTCAGAGACCAGTTGTCTCTGCAACACACTTTCCATACCTACCTAGGTCCTTGAATTGGTTTAAGTCTCTGAACTGGGAGTGGAGGTGAAAAAAGTAAACAAATTTATACATACACACACACACACACACATACACACACACACACGTATATATATATATAGCCACTAAACAAGTGAGCATTTCCTTTAATTTTTCTGTCACTTAACAGTGGATGGATGATTTATGTGTTTTCCTCAAAAAACATATAAATATGTAGTTAAATGCTTGAGCAGCCTCACTGAATGTGGGAAATAAATTCATGTTTGCAAAATTTCCGGGTGCAGCATGAGAACATACAGACCTTGAGGTCTGAAATCAAATCAGATAAAACATTTAGAGCTACTGCGTCCCTTTGAAGGTAATAATTTTAAAGCATTAAAGTGACTTAGCTTGCTAGCCCTGTTTTTCTGTGACTACACCTTCTTAAAAGAAAGCTTGAAAATCCATGTTTAAAATATTCTAAATGGCATTTAATTGTGCAAATTTCATTGAATAATTTATTACTGTTAAGCTCCCTCCCCTAAATAATTTCAAAGACAAAATAGCAAGGACTCTTATGTAGGAGTTTTCTTAGAGCTAAAGGGTTCATCATCTCTTCTTCAGCTTCCCCTGGAAATTTTTAGGTTTCAAACAAGGTGGATGAAAATGTTATTAATTACTGAACAAAATTTGAGATCTATAACTGTTTTTATAAAACATATTCAATTTGCTGTTGTACACCAGCAGCTACCTGTATGCAATAAAAATAATAAATAAGAAATAACTTTTTAAAAGAGCGTATGATGAAGATCTGCTGTAACTACTTATTCTGTTTGACTTTGAGGGGTTGTTGAGTAGATGGCTTACATAGCTAATTCTGTTTGCCAGATTTACCAGGTGAGCTAAAGAAAAAGATATATAAAAAACTGAGGCTTTGGATGGTATAACCTTGTATAGCATTTTATCTTACAACAGAACTTCTTGTCTGAACACCTAGATTTCTCCTTAATGCTGCTTTTATGAGTGAATTTAAATCAGTCTTTACTCTGCATGCAATGAATTCAATTTTGAACTGAATGCTTGTGGCCAACTCTTTTTTTTTTTCTGATTTTTGTTAGCATTCTGTAGATATTCCTATTATTCACATTTATCCTTTTCCTTTTTTTTCCCTCTTAAAAAAAAACCAAACAAACAAAACATTAAATCTCCTATGATCATGCTTTGCAGAGTAAATGAGTGAAGGAGGTTTTTGGATGCTGGGGATTTGTTTTGATTGGTTTTTGTTGTGGAGTGTCAGAAAGGCAGTAGGTTCCAGCCAGTCAGATAATATTCTATTACACAATTACCCTGGGAGTCTTAAGTGCCCACTGGGGACCTAAGAGCACTCAATGAAGGAATTGTGTGGAGTTGTGCTGTGGCAGCAAAATGGAATAAAAGATGCTTTGGATGCTGTAAAGTTAAATTGATCCCCACAATGACAAGAGCCAGCAATAGATAAGGTCACTGAAAATTTTACCCTTTTACAGAGCACTGAATCTTTGACCCAAGGTGAATCACCCTTCCTCTTTATGCAAACTATAGCTAAATTTGATCTGGGTAATGGAGACACTGACACATCCATGGTGACAGAAGCTAGTCTTTTCACCTTTTTGCATGTGTACTTCTCAAGTAACAGCCACCTGAAATTGCAAATGCTTCTAAAAATAACTTTTTTCAGTTATGTCCAAAGCATGTTAAAGTTTCCTAAGTAACCTTCTGTGAACATGTGTCAAAATCCATATTCATTTTAAATAAGGATGTGGACTAGGCACTAGGTTTCCCTATAAAGTAAAATATTTAAACATGTTTAAATATTTTACTTTATAGGGAAAATTTAAAAGTGAAAGCATTTTGTCAATATATTTCTTACAAGGAGTTCAATACTGCAAGTTACAATTTATATTGTAGAAAACCCCAGCTAACACTCTTCAGGAGCTAATATTTGATTTTTGTTTAGGCTACAACTGATCTCTTTAACACTTTTGATTTTTCATAGATCAATTTACAAGACATGAACCAAATATTAAAATCACATTCTATCAAATGACTGAACAGATTGCAAGGGAAGAAATAAAATTAAAAAGTCTCTGCCCTTAAATATGTTGTGAAAGAAGTTTAATTAATTTTAAGTTAAAAATACTTTAGAAATATTAGAAACATTCTTGATATTCACTTAATTCATCATTATGGGCCATACTTGGTAAAATATTTTACAGCTAAACTTTATGTATATCTTGAACTCCTTATCCAGCTAAGCACTCTGGCCTTGCCAAATTGAGAGTGTTGGTACCCTGTAGTCCCCAGTCCTGGAAGCTATTTAAATTCTTTATGCTTATTGATTTTATTGAAGGTTATTCTGTGGCTAGAGTGTGTTTTACTGTGCTTACAGGAAAGCCATGTTGTTACATTAAAATTGCACTCCTCTGCATTTTTGTTTAGAAGCAGTGTACACAATATTTTATGTCCAGTTTAGCAGGTCCAGAGACAGTTTGTGAAGCTCACAGCTGTTCGTCAGCAGTTGGATTGTTTCACTTATTATTTTTTTTGGGGTAGAGCTAAAATAACTATAGGTGAAGAGGCACAGTTTTTATTTTGGTTCTTC